GACTTCCAATACAATGTTGAACAGAAAGAGCATCCTTGTCTGGTTCCTGTCTGTAAAGGGAATGGTTTCAGTCTCTCTCCACTGAGAATAATGTTGGCTGTTGGCTTTGTATATATGCCCTTTAATATGTTGAGGAATGTCCGCTCTATTCCTATTTTGCTGAGAGTTTTGATCAGGAATGGGTATTGGATTTTGTCAAATGCTTTTTTCTGCATCGACTGATATGATCATGTGGTTCTTTTCCTTTGTTTTATTTATGTGGTGGATGATGTTGATTGTTTTTCTAATGTTGAACCATTCTTGCACACCTGATATGAACTACACTTGGTCATAACGTATTATTTTTTTTGATGATGTTGAAGTCTATTAGCTAGAATTTTGTTGAAGATTTTTACATCTATACTCACAAGGGATGTTGGTCTCTAGTTTTCCATCTCAGTGATGCCTTTGCCTGGTTTGCCTAAGACATCTGACTGCTAATCAGAAGCCTGGCTGTTCAGACCCATCAGCCACTCCTTGGAAGGAAGACTGGGCAATCTGCTTCCGCAGAGACACCACCTTAGAAACCCAAGGAGGGGTCGCTATGAGTTGAATAGACTCGATGGCAGTGAGTCTGGTTTGGAATTTTGGTTGCCTGGTTTTGGTATCAAGGTTATGCTTGCTTCAAAAAATGAATGTGAGAGGATTCCATCCTTTTCAACACAGAATAGTTTGACTAGCATTGATGTCAGTTCTTCCCTGAACATTTGGTAGAATCTCCAGTGAAATGATCTAGGCCCAGACTTTTGTGTTGTTGTTGGTAATTTTTTTTATGACCTGTTCAATTTCTTCTTTTGTTATGAGTCTGTTCAAATTTTCCACTGCTGTCTGTGTTAGTTTAGGTAAGTAGAATGTTTCTAGAAATATGTCCATTTCTCCTACATTTTCAAATTTGTTCGAGTACAGTTCTTCATAGTATCTTAACATCATCTTTCTTATTTCATTTGGTTCTGTTCTGATGTAACCCACTTCATTTCTTATTCATGCTATGTGTATTCTCTCCCTCTTTTCCCTTGTTAAATTTGCAAGTGGTTTGTCAATTTTATTAATCTTTGCAAGAAAACAACTTCTAGTCTTGATTTTTTTTCTATTGTCTGTTTTCTGTTTCCTTTTCTTCTGCTCGACTCTTTAAATTTTTCTCCGGTGACTGTAGAGTTTTGTTGCTGATCTTTTTCCAATTGTTGGAGATGTGGGTTTATGGTGTTTATTTTGGCACTTTCTTTTTTGATGTATGCATTTATTGCTCTAAAGTGGCTTTCGATCACCACTTTTGCTGTGTCCGAAAGATTTTGGTATGTTGTATTTTTATTCTAGATTTCAAAGAATTCTTTAATTTCATTTTTATTTCTTCTATTACCTGGTCATTTTTAAGGAGGTTATTATTCAGTTTCCATGTATTTGTTCTTTTTCCATTGAGTTTCCTATTGTTGATTTCTAATTCTATAGCACTGTGATCTGAGAAGAGGCTTTGCAGTATTTCAATGCTTTTAAATTTAATAAGGCTTGCTTTACAGTCTAACGGATGGTCTATCATGGAGAATGTTCCATGTGCACTGGAGAAGAATGTATAATGTACTGTTCTGTTGGGTGAAGTGCTCTGTAGATGTCTACATGGTCAAGTTGGTGGGTTGTATTGTTTAGTTTTTCTGTCTTTGTTGAGTTTCTTTTCCAGCTGTTCTATCTTTCATTGAAAGTGGTATATTAAAGTCTCCTACTATGACTGTGGAGTCATCTATTTGTCTTTTCAATTCTGTTAAAGTCTGATATATTTATTTTGGGGCTCTTTCACTGGGTACATAGATATTTTTATGGTTATGTCCTCTTGTTCATTTGATCCTTTCATCATTAAATAATGTCCTTCCTTGTCTCTTACGGTGGTTTTTGCCTGAAGTCAATTTTAGCAGAAATTACTATTGCCACTCCTGCTTTTTTTTTTTAATGGCCATTTGCTTGATATATCTTTTTCCAAATCAAAGGTTTATAATCTATTTTTGTCTTTATCTTCTAGTTGTCTCTTGAAGACAGCATATTGATGAGTTATGTTTTCTTAATTAGTCTGTGACAGTCCGTCTCGAGTGGTACATTTACTCCATTTACATTCAGTGCAATTACTGACAAGTATGTATTTGTTGTTGTCATTCTGTGTTTTTTCTTGCTGTTGCTGTTTTTTTTTTTCCATACAATTTTCCATGCTGAGCTCATTTTGTTTATGAATCATGTTATTACTTCCTTTGTTGCTACTGTTTTAGTATTTGCTAAATATGCATGCTTGTCCTTTTTATTGTGATGTGAAGGGTCTGACATTTTTCTTTGAGGTTACCCTGTGATTTATAATTTTCTCCCCAAGTTGAGAACAGTGCATTCTATCTTGCAATTCTCTCGACTTCCTCACCATTTAGAAATTCTGTAACCACACAATTTTTTTCCTCTTTTTGTTTTGTAGTTGTCCGCATTTGTCAATTGATGTCTCTGGCTCCCTATTTATAATCCTGTAAGCCTATTTTACTTTGGAAACTTCCATAACTGGGTTGGTTTCTGGGTTATGTCATATGTGTTAAAGGCTGCTTGTTGTTTGCTGTTGTTGGTTCTCTGTCCAAAGGACTCTATTTAGCATCTTTTGTAAGGCTGGTCTGGTTTTAACAAATTCCTTTAATTTCTGCTTATCTGGAAATGATCGAATTTTGCCATCACATTTGAGGGACAATTTTGCTGGGTATATAATTCTTGGTTGGAAATTTTCCCCTTTCAGGGTTTTATATATACTATTCCACTGCCTTCTCGCTTGCATGGTTTCTGCTGAGAAATCAGAGCTCAGTTTTATTGGTTGCCCTTTGTAAGTAACTTTTCATTTTTCCCGTGCTGCTTTCAGGATTCTTTGTCTTTGGTTTTGGTGGGTTTGATGATGATATGTCTTGGCAATTTTCTTTTGGGGTCTATCCTGTTTGGGGTTCATTGACTTCTTAAATGGATATATTCTTGTCTTTCATCATATCAGGAAAATTCTCTTCCAACAAATCCTCGACAATTTTCTCTGTGGTTTTATTTGTCTCTTCCTGTTCTGGAATTCCGATTACGCACTGCGGTCAAGTCGGATCCAACTCACAGCTGACACCTCCTTGGGTTCTGAGGTGGTATCACTACAGAAGTAGATTGCCCTACCTTTGTTCTGAGGAATGCTTGGTGGGTTTGAACCACCAGCTTTCTGGTTAGCAGTCAAATGCCTTAGGCACTACACCGCCAGAGCTCCTGGATTTCTGATTACACGTAGGTTATATTCCTTTTGATGGTATCCCACATGAATGTTAGGCTTTCTTCATTGCGTTTTGAGCTTTTTTCTGACTGATCCCTTTCCAAAGAAGTACTGAGGTATTTGTCTTCAATCCCAGTAATTCTGTCTTCCACTGATTTGATTCGATTCCTTTGCCCTTTCAATGTGTTGTCTATTTCTGAAAATTTAGTATTAATCTTCTGGATTTTTATCTGTAGTTTTTGTATCATTTCTAATTTTTCATTTACTTTGTCATTTTGTTCTCGTATTTTCTTCTCAAATTCTAGGGTTTTCTGTGTTTTCCTTGATCTGTCTCTCAATCCATTGAAGGTACCTAAATATAACTCTTTTGAATTCCTTATCAGGGAGTTCCAGTGCTCCTTCCTCCTCGGGGATGTGTTCTGGCTCTGTATCCTGGTCCCTTGTTTCCACTACTTTATCTTGCTGTTTTATGTGGACTGTGATGGTCTATTGTCACCGAGATACTGTGCTGTTGTATTTATATTAATTGGTGATTGTGTGTTGGAGTGATTCATCCAAGATTTTCATTTTCTTTGTTTTGTTTGGATTTATCAGAGTAAGTAGGGTTCTGTGGTTCTCTATTTGCTAGTTTGCAGCACTTACTCACTTACCACCTGTCTCCTAGTGGGTGTGATGGAGTATCAGAGTGGCTGTATTGGTTGATCTGTTACCTCTTTGTGAAAAGCAGTTAGTTTGAGTTAGGCTCCTATTGGCTGTTGTGTATCATTGGCCAGTTGGTGCAGAAGCAAGTGGTGGCCTGTACCCAGAAGGAGGGGCTGGGGGTATGGTTGGGTTATATAGGCATGGTTGTGCTCTCCCACTCAGTTACAGAGAACTTTCCAGTCCTTAGTCTCTGGCAAGTCCATGCTGTCCTCGGCAAGTGGAGCCTATTCTTAGGTCCCTGGAATCTGACAGAACATTGTCACTTTAAATATCCAAAATGGTCGAACCACTTGTAAACATTCAAAATGGCTGCGCCCTCCGGACAGCCAAAATCCATAGCTTAGTTTGCTGCCTTCTTTGCTGTTTCCCTTTTTAGTCATCAGTCACCAGTGTAGTCCTCCTTGTAGCCCTTAACAAGCAGGGCCAATTTTTAGGTTAATTCTTAGGTCCTAACACCACTTGGAAAAATCCAAACTGTCCATGCCATCAGGATCGTTGACAGTCTGCAGCTCCGTTTGTCTCCTTATTCAGTATTTTCATGCAGGTTCTACTAGTTGAAGTAGAACTAGGACTTCTGTATCCTTCCTTTCAAATCTCAGGGCTCTAAGATTATCTTCTGTATCTCTATCATTTGGTTTTTCTTTTCTTTGTGGAAGAGGATCTATGTAGTTTGTCTGCCTATTCTGCCATCTTACTGGAACTCTCTACTGATATAGTTTTATATACGCATTTTTTTTGTTTTTTGGTATAGTTCATTTCTCCTCAATCTATATTCTTGTTGTTAGTTTGTAAAAGCATTTAGATCTCTGGAATAAAAATGCCAATACGTAAAATGTAGAGTAAATCTGTTATAATACAGTTTATGATGATACATAGTTGGGTATGTATAAGTTATTTAAAACCCAGTTAAAAGTATTACATAATACCCTAAAGTACACTGGCATAATCATACTTACATAACTATGTGTGTGTGTACTTACATGTATATGTGTATATTAATTAATCCTACCTTTACTCCTTGAATTAAGCCATTCATCAGAAATGTATGTTTAGGGAAGGTTTCATGTAATACCTAAAAAATGAAAACAAATAAAAATCATATATTACATTTGTCTCTTAGTTAACTTCTACATTTATATTTTCAAACATCTCTTCATAATACAATCTAATACTACTTTACAAAAATTTTCAGATTTGTGTAAGACTTATTTATGTATGTGAGAAGGAGCTCTAGTGGTGCAGTGGTTAAAACATCTGGCTGGTAACTAAAAGGTTAGTGGTTCGAACCTACCAGCTGCTCTGCAGGATAAAGATGAGGCAGTCTGCATCTGTGCCCATAAAGATTTCAGCCTTGGAAACCCTGTCACTATGAATTGGAGTTGACTCGATAGCAGTGAGTTTGGTATCTGGTTATGCATGTGAGTAAATACTAGTAATTTAAAATATGTATATGGAATTTTACTATAAGGCACTGAACTGGACACTTTACATATATTGACTCATTTAATCAGAACAACCCTTTAAGAAAAATGATATATATATAAAGAGGCTAAATTCATTACAAACCAGTAACTGGTGAAATTAAAATGGAATTCAGGCCAACCACTTGGAAAGGAATCAAAATTGGAGATCCAGGATGGGGTGGAAGGAAAAAAGCTGAACAAAATTCAAAAACACAAAAATGACCAGAATTACTGGTCTCATGGAGACTGGTTAAACCCCTAAGACTATGGCCCCAGGTTATCCTTTGGGCCTGGAGGGGACTCACTTCCATGGATTAGCTCTCAGTCAAATAGCAGAAAGGCCTACAAGCAGAACACCTACCCCAGGGAAATGCTCCCACCTACTCCAGGGAGATGCAGTCCTCAAAACAATCAACTGTGGCAGATCAGAAGGGCAGCATTTGCACAGGTGGAAAGCTGGATAGACAGGGCTACACAGGTAAGGACACATGGAAAAGGTAGTGACAGGAAGGAGAGCTGTTTATTGTTGGAATTATAACTGGTGCCATGAAACAAAATGTGGATGAACTGTTGAGAGTAAAACAAATCTGATTTGTAAGTCTACACCCAAATCACCATAAAAATTTTTATTTAAAGAAGAAAATACCAAGAATACTTTATCCTCTACCATTGAAAAAAAAATCGAAATCCGGAAGTCAAGCTTAAAAGTCCGTTCTTATGTTTCCCACATATAGCCAATTTATAATTAATTCTCTTATGTTGTTCTTGTTGTTGTTCTGTGCCGTCGAGTTGGACCTGACTCATAGTGACCCCTCCTTGGGTTTCCGGAGCAGTATCACTACGGAAGTAGATTGCCCCATCTTCCTTCCGAGGAGTGGCTGGTGGGTCTGAACCGCCAGCCTTCTGGTTAGCAGTAAGTGCCTTAGGCACTACGCTACCAGAGCTCCCTAATTCTCTTATACATAAGTATATATTAACTAAGATAGCTTACTGGAAGAATTAATAAGGAATTTCAAATTGACACGAAGTGGATCTGGAAAGATTCCATAAAGGGGGAAAAAAATCCCATGCTATGACAATATATAACAATTTCTTCTATTCTTTTTAAGGCCTGTTATTGAACCACAAGACATCACTTTGTTCACTGGACAAGTGAACCACTGGGAACCACTGGCTGAAAAGGCAACTGAAAAATAATAATAGGCAATAGCTACCATTTTTACAACCTATCTGTCAGGTGTTTTATACAGATTCTTTTATTTAATCCCAACATTATGAATTAGATAATACTAACACTTTATAGGAGCTCTGGTAGCATAGTGCCTAAGGCACTTGACTGCTACCAGAAGGCTGGCGGTTCAAACCCACTAGCCACTCCTCAGAAGGAAGGTTGGGCAATCTACTTCCGTAGTGTTACTGCCTCGGAAACCCAAGGAGGGGTCACTATGAGTCGGGGCCGACTCGACGGCACACAACAACAACAACAACACTTTATAGATGAGGCAAATGACTTATTAAAAGGCAACATTTCTTCCATTATACCACAATGTCTCTCAGAAAAAACAATATTGTTATTATTAGGTGCCATCCACCTACATACAACAGAACAAAAGAATGGCAATGTGAGAAGAATTCTCTTTAGGAAAAAAATAAAAAACTATGCTGTTTATTCTTTCTCACATCTTGCAAGAAACACATTTAGAAAAACTAGAGCTTTTCTTCAGTTACTCTCCTTTGGCCAACAAAGAAAAATTTAATCATCATATGTAAAAATAAAGAATATTAGAAATGAAATGTTAGTAGTAAAGGAAAATCATTAACATGGAAAAAAATCACATTATTATGGTATTCAGATATTTGATTAAGTAGATTGTTCTCAGCCAGGGGCAGTTTTGCCCCCATCTCAGGGGACATTTGGCAATATCTGCAGATAGTTCTTACTGTCACAGCTTGGGGACAGATGGAATGCTACAGGCCTATAAAAGGTGAAGGCCAGGAATGAATCCTGCAATGAATAAGACAGCCCCCTACAAAAAAGAATTTTTTGTCAATAATGCTGAGGTAGAAATGTCGATACGCTAAAGCCAAAATCAAACCAGTTGCCATCAAGTTGATTCCAACTCATGGTAAACCCATGTGTCAAAGTAGAACTGTGCTCCATCGAGTCTTCAATAGCTGACTTTTTGGAAGCAGATCATGAGGCATTTCTTATGAGATGCCTGAGTGGACTCAACTGCCAACTTTTCACTTAGCAGCAGGCACAGCTGTATTATTTGTACCAACCAGTGACTTGCTGAGGTTGTGAAACCCTGTTATAAATAGTGAAAGACCTACTGATCTAAAGAAGGAGTCTGTAAACTTTTCTGTAAAGAACTAGATAGTAGATATTTTAAGTTTTGCAGGCCATACAAGTATCCAACATAATTACTCTACTTTGTCATTATAGAAACAGAAATAGTCACAGACGATGCTTAAAATGAATAGGTTTGGTTTGTTCCAATTAAACTTTATTTACAAAAACAGGCTGAGTTAAGATTTGGTCCTCTGAGCAGTTTGTTAGTCCCTGTACTCAAGGATAAGATTTATACTCCTATGAGTCGGGTCCAACCCAACAGCACATAACAACAACAACCTGATGCCAAAGGGGCAGGGAGGCCGCATCTTCTGACCTTCTCTAACCCCACAAGAGGAAGACAGAATTACCATCAGTAGTCCAAGGCCTATTCCTGCGAGGCCAGACATGTTGCCTCCCTCCAGCCCTTCCACCAACCGTGACACCAACAATTCCTCCTGCAGCATCCACGACCTCTCTGCTGGGTTCAGTAATTCGCTGCAGTGGCCACAAAGGATTCACAGATTATGGGGTTTATTAGGGAAGTAAAAGGCTGTAATTCAAGTTCAGGAACACACTCAGTCTCTCTCAGTCCGCTGTCTCTCAACCGACAGTCCCTCTCAGTCTCTCTCCCAGCAGTGCATGTCTCTCAGTGTCTCTCCCAGCAGTGCGTATCTCTTAGTCTCTCAGTAGTGCAGGTCTCTCACAGTGACCAAACTAACCAATCCCAAAACCAGAATTCTATACACCTGAGAGAAAGCGAACTTCCCAGAAAACTACTCCATGCTGCTCCCAACAAAAATATCCCAGGTGGATAACTGTTCAGAAGCTACTCAGTGCTCACGGCAAAATCCACCACGGAGTTTACAAAGACTTATTGTTAAAAAAGCCACACTATGTAATTTACTACACCACACCTAGTATGCCAAAGCACGTCACAATCAGCTCAAAATCTACCTTTCATCCAATAATTACTAAGGGTCTAATGCAAGCCAAATCTTTACAGGAACCAACAAAAAGAGTTTAGTGTTACAAAGAATGAAGGACACAATCACTGCCCCATCAGCTACTCCTCGGAAGCAAGACCGGACAATCGACTTCTACAGAGATACCGCCTGGGAAACCTAAAGAGGGGTTGGTATGAATGAGTTCATTCGACTCAATGGCATTGAGTTTGGGTTTTTTTTTTTTTTTTGGATTACCAGGAACTTTATGTTATGGTAGATCTTACCACTATGATTTTGCCAAGCCATTTTCCATTCCAATCAAATGGTCTCTTTACTACTTTAGAAATATTCCTATGCTTTTTAATATTCATACTTTTAAAAATTACCTTCCAAAAGTAAATAAATAAATAAATAAAAATGACATTGCATCCATTTTGAATGTTTGCTCCCTTTATTTTCTCTATGTAGTTACCGCTAACCTTCCAAATTACTCCTCAACTACCAAACATTACTCTCCAAAGAAGTAACTGCTTTCTCCCTCAGGGCCATATAATGAGTATTACAGAACTTACTTGGCAGTTAGTGACATAAGCCTTCTGTTATTTCTTGTATTCAGTATTGAGTTAATTACTTTTTGTATTTTCTAAGCTTTTCATGTATTAAATAAATATTTCTTTCAACATCTATTTCAGAATTTTTAGAGACAGGTATTACATCTCCTATGTCTTACATTAATATATCTTTGTCTTTATTAATGCCACATACAGTCCCTTGCCCATAGTAATTATGTTCATTAAATGTCTGTCCTTAACTGATAACAAATTCTGCTTTTAAAAAGACAATGTAACTTGACAATTATGTGATCAAATTAATTTAGCTAAATGTTAGAACATAAAACCCTTCAACAATCTCCCTAAAGGAGTAAATTAAGATAAAATATCTACATTTGATTTTCTCACAAGATTTAAAACAAAGACAAATATAACAAGTAATCTAAATGTTGTAAGAATTTTTGATCAGTGAAGATACTTCAGCACTCACTGGATGTCAGGTCTGAATGGAATATATATATATATATATTTTAACATTTTGCAAAGCATTTTTTTATCCTAATTTTTTTTTTTAGGAATTTTAAAGATTTTGCGCATACAGTAAATACTGATTAAAAAATTAAATGCCTTGGGACTATTCCTGCAGCAAAGGATGCTGAACCATTTACACAGAGGAAATGCTGACAGGAAACAAAGTAGTACAGGGTCTTGCTCTATAACATAGAATGAATCTCTAGCAACTTGAATCATTACACATTAGCTTAGTATTTCCAGAATCA